ATACTACGCTATCTGCTGCCAGCCGCTGGTCTACCAGAACAAAATGACCCCCCTGAGAGTGGCTCTGATGATCGGGGGCTGCTGGTCCATCCCCACCTTCATCTCCTTCCTGCCCATCATGCAGGGCTGGAACAGCATCGGCATCGACGACCTGGTGAGCAGAGTGTGTGTGTGTGTGTGTGTGTGTGTGTGTGTGTGTGTGTGTGTGTGTGTGTGTGTGTGTTGTGTGTGTGTGTGTGTGTGTGTGTGTGTGTGTGTGTGTGTGTGTGTGTTGTGTGTGTGTGTGTGTGTGTGTGTGGTGTGTGTGTGTGGTGTGTGTGTGTGTGTGTGTGTGTGTGTGTGTGTGTGTGTGTGTGTGTGTAGTGTGTGTGTGTGGTGTGTGTGTGTGTGTGTGTGTGTGTGTGTGTGTGTGTGTGTGTGTGTGTGTGTGTGTGTGTGTGTGTGTGTGTGTGTGAGTGTGTGTGTGCATCAGGTCAGTGATCAGCTGACATTAAATCAACCGGACTTCTTTCTGCGTATTGATATGACTGCACATAGTCCCGTGATCAGAGTGTTTCCTTAGCAAGGGTCTGTTAACGTAAAATAACAGACCTCTGAAATGTCCAAATCGACCAATCAGAATCGAGTTTTCAACTAAGCTGTGTAATAAATATTAACAAGTCTAGAATTGGTATTATACAGAAACATTCACAAGTTAAAAACACCTCACATTAACCAAAAACCCTAAAACGAATCACACCCTAACTCGTAAATAGTCCCATAATGCATTGCATCAGTCTGAACATTGGTTTAAATGCTGGTTGACTTGAAAATGGAGTTGAGAGGAGAACAGAATCGTAACAATACATGCTTTACATAAACACTAAGTGTCCACATTCACCGAAACAAATAAATGATAGACTTGCAGAAATGTTATTGTTTACAAGACAGAGGAAATGCGTCATGTGTTGCCATGACAACAACATCAACACATCAGAGAGAGAAACAAAGGCCACTGACACAGAGGACTCAAAGTTAAGTGGTTTCTGTATTTCAGTCTGGAAATGTGAAGTTTTTAACGAATGAATGTGTTTTTTGTGCAGGAAGGTTTGTTTATAGGATGCAAGTTCATAAGGAGGGATGGAAATACAGATTCTGGTGCGAAATGCAAAAGAAAGATGAAGGTATTAGAGGAGAGATTTTCCGGAAGTGATGTCAGGATCACATTTAAAAGTTGGTCAAACTCGAGTTTATTCTCGACCTTTGAAATGACATTTTCTCACCAAATTTGCAGAAAGAAATGTTAAATCCCAGGGTTTTGTCTGCGCCTACCGACAGCAATCTAATTATCGAAATGTTTTAATTCAACAAGCTGTGTCCAACTCTTTGCCTGCGAGCATTAAATGAAACATTACATTACATGACATGTCACTTGTTAGACGCTTTTATCCAAAGCGACTTCCATACTCAATACTGTGGACAATCCCCACAGGAGCACTTTGGGGTGAAGTGTCTCAGGGACACAACGACATGCTGACTGCAGTGGGGTTTGAACCTGTGCTCCCTTGATCCCAACACCAACGCATTAACCCACTGCGCCACACGCCACCCTACAAAACAACCTTCACACGTTTAATACAACCTTAAATAAAATACATTTCTTATTTTTTTAAATATTAAAGTAATCTGCAATACTCCATTCTATGACTGAAAACAGAAATATCAAAGTAAATGTTTGAAACCTAAAAAACAGCCTTTTATATTTGTATTCACATTTGACATCAAAATCTATGATATATATTTATAAAAAATAAATAAATATATTTAAATACATTTAATACAAATCTGCCTTTCAATGCTAAGCATGGTTTTGTCTGCGGCCTCAAACCAAAATGCAGATTTCCCCGTAAAATGTTAAAGTGATGCCAGAACACAATATTTCTGTTCCTCAAAAACGGTGTAAAAAACTAATTTTGGGGATTTAGATTATTAATTTTAGATTTGTTTTTTTCTCAGATTTAGATTTTTTGGGGATTTAGATTTTCTTTTAAAATTATATTGAATTTTTATCAAACATTTTTTTTTAGATTTAGATTAAACATATTAGATTTATATATATTTTTTTATTTATATATTTTTTTTATATTTCGATATTTTGTACTGAAACTGAGATTTCTGAGTTTCTTTGATGTCCTTTTTTCTGTAGAGGAAGTGAAGAAACCATAACTCCAGATGTATTTGTTGTTTGAGGTGCAATATATGACTCAGCAGCTTTAAGACATGAAGAAACTATTATTTCCCGCTTCGCTCTAATGCAGCATTTTCACCGGAAAGTGAGCGGAGCTTAATTTTGACCGGAAGTCACGCTAGTGCTTCTAGAAAAACCCCTGATAAATGCTTCTAAATCTGCACCTTGTCCACAGATAGTCATTCATATTCATACATTACATTACAGCATTCTTCTGTTACGTGGATTTATTGAAACCTCATGCAATGCTCTTCACACTTTCTGATTGGATGCAAACTGAATTTCGCCAGAAAGTGGGCGGGGCCTTAATTCTGACCAGACATTACGTTAGCGCCCTCATACAAAATGTTTCCAGAAAAACCCCATAATAATAAAAACATTGTTCTAAATATAGCTTTTTTTCTTGTTAACTCTTTGATATCTTATTACCCTCAGGCCTTTCATCTTTGAAATGAAACAATCCAAGTAGGAAAATCAATCTTTAGTTGAACTGCTCATAACTCATCTCCACAGCCATTACTTCTGTCAAGAGGTCGCAGGATAATGATTTATTGACCCTTTTTCCAGATTGTTTTGGTATGGAAGCTTAAATTCCATCTTACTGTACTCACCTCATGCTTCACTTGCTCTTATTTTGTGATGGTGCTTCCAGTTAGAGCCTAATTGCTAACACATTGCACAGCGTCACCAGGTTTATCCACCTTAACCTGCCAAATAACCTACTTTTAAGCTTTTAAATGAACAGTTATTAAGTAAAAACACTTTTTAAGGTGAGAAACTAACCTTTTAGATTCCCAATATTTGATGATTTTATCAAAAATAACGTACCTTTGGGACTTAACGTTGATGTTTGGAGCTGTGAGGAGCTAATACTGTATGAGAGCAGACAGTTAGCTTAAAGAAAAACACGTCAACATGTTTTTATAATGTCTCTCACAGTCTGAACGTAGACACAGGTCAGCACTGCACGTTTAACCATAGGGGGTTAAATAGTAATAAACATTTAAATAACGAGAGCCAGCAATTTGGCCGTAGCTAGCTAGATACTTAACTTTCGCTAGGTAGCTTGTAAGATAGTTTGCTAACACAAGCGAGCTCTTCACATGGATGCCCCTCACTGAATTGCTATTCAAATGAAAGTGGAAATTTGCAATATTTGCCTCCAAATCTCCTAATAAATGATAATCCAACTCAGTCAACAATTACAGTTTTGTTGATTGGCTTCTCTTCCATTTTGATATACAGCTGTTTTTCACATGCTCCCTTTTTATATATATATATCTCGTCCTGAATGCTTTTATTTCGGAACAGATGCTTTTAAAAGGTGCATTATTAATAAACGTGTACCCACTTCTACAACTAAGATTTCAGTTTCTCTGTAGTGTGATGTGGTGAAACTTGCCAATCACAATTACCTCACTGACAGTCAGCTGGAGGACTGACTGGCTCATTTTTGGCAGCATTGCAGTGAGACACACACACACACACACACACACACACACACACACACACACACACACACACACACACACACACACACACACACACACACACACACACGCACCCTTGCCAGTACGGCAGTCTATAGTTAGGGATGGCAGCAGCGTCTCTTCGGGTCTAATTAAAGCTGTTTAATATTCTGAGTAGCCGTTCAGCACTGGCACAAACTGCGGCTCCAAAACTGAACAAAACAACCCAAAAAACTTTGCACGCACAACAGATACACAAACAGGTCGTTGTGTATATTTTAAAATGTGTCCTACTGTTTTTGTAAAATGCAAATCTCTAAACATGGATTAGAGAAATAAATGGTTCATAGGCAGGTTGGAGGTTGATTTTTAAAATACCATCTTCATGTATCTGTATGTGTTTGAAAGACTTCATTCCTTATTCTTATTCTAAGTATCGCAGCATGTTCAGTTAATTATCATCAGTCCACTTTAATAAAGACGGCATATATTCCACTTCAAAGAGCCTTGGAACAACATCCATATGATCTTCTTTGGATGATTCGTTCTTCTTTAATCAAGGCAATTTCATTTCTGCAGAATGATTGACTCGAGCTGCTTCCAGTGTGCCCTTTGACACGTGGAGAAAGATCCATATTTGATGGAAAACATCCATCAAATATGGAGGTAACACAGGGATTGTAGCCTCTGCAGACCATTGACATGCACTAAAACATATAGAACACACTACAGGAGAGGGAGAACTGGACTTAAACTCACTATGTACATTTTACATATATATTTAATTTGCTTACACACTTAATGCATATAATATCCTGTGTATACTGTAAAGTCGGCCCTTCAATATAGTGTTTATTTGTCAGACAGTTTAAAGACGTTTTTATCTCCACAGTCAATTTGTATATTTTCTACTTTTTTAACCCTCTGAGACCCACGGGGCCGTATACGATCCCAAATATCACGTTGTGTTCAAAGCGTCATAACTCATCAGCTGTTTGAGACTTGCCGCGTGTTTCCTCTTAAACTACAGAAACGGCAATAAACAACTCTATTCAGTTTTTCATTGAGAGGTGTTTACTTATTTCGGTGAAACGAATGTGCGTAAAGTTTTAAAAGATGCGGATAGTCTCACCTTGATTCTGGCGCATTGCTTATCGTTTTCTGTTTTTTTTTATAGATCAATTCTCATCCACCATCTTTGTTTGTGACGTAAAGAGTGTAAGAGTCACGTTTCTGAATCGGACACTCTGAGTGGATGCTGTCACAGCCAATCGGAGTCTGACTCAGAGTCAGTTCCGTTGTTTTGTGTACTGAAACGAGAGCTGGTATAATTCCACGCGCGAAAACAAAATAAAAGTTGGAATACGTTCTTTTCGTGTCTTAAAAGTAGACTGAGGTATGGCAAGGAAGTTTACAACAGCTGAGGCTTTGGAGCTGATTGTTCAAGGTGACGATGTCGATGAAAATTCAGACGAATCTGCTCAGCATGCCATGTGTGATTGTGGACAGGAAATACCGTGATATATATCATGTGTAGTCTTGACAAAAAATGACAATTCCTGGCAAAAGAACTCCCATGGACACTGCCCAAAAGAATGGGCATAACTAATGAACAGAAGAAGTTAGAATCTTCTAATCAGTTCTGATACAATGATAATAAATGTGTGCACATGTCTGTGTTGAACGTTTCTTTCAATGTTATGGTTAGCAGTTATTTTGAATGAAATAAGTAAAAAATTCAAGCTCCGTTTAAAAAAAAAATGTATGAGCAAATATCCCCAATTATAGTGTATACAAGTCTCTAATGAGTGACACATATCATTCGCTGAGGTTGTGCTGATTTCTGGGATGTGTAAAACTTGATTATACTGTAAAGAAATGACAATGTATAAGGCAAATACATAAATATACAAAAACGGAAATGTCCTATGTGGGTCTCAGAGGGTTAATGCTGTTTTATTTCTATTTTGAGATGTTTACATTTTAGAATTGTTCAAAATTAGAATTTCTGCTTATGTGCAATGCCTTGTTTTTTGTTTATTTAATGCTGCTGCAATGCAAAGAAATCCCACATTGGGATCAATAAAGTACATCTTATCTTAAAACCCCCCTAAAAAGCACAATAGGGACCCTTTACTTGTTTCATTGTGTGCATTCATGCAGCAGTGCAGGTAACCTCAAAGCCCACCAGTTATCTCAAATCGTCCGCCCATTAATGGAAACTCTGCAGAGATATGGATTGATCTTCCTCTCGTGGCCCTGAGCCGTAGTTTCCCCACAGAGATGAGATGATAGCGGAGGACAATATATAATGTGACTTTAGTGAGATGAATGATGACATGCAGCGCCTCCCTCAGGGCCAAAATCCTATGAACACTCATCTGAGAGAGAGGGGGAGGGGGGGGGGGGGGTGGGGTTTAATGGCTTGTTGTGAAGTCTGCAGGCTTTTTATAGGACTTCTTTCAACACAAATGTCAACCTTTGAGTTATTGAATGTCTGTGAATGTGATTGAGATGAGTCATTGTTTGCATGACTTCCTTACTACAGGGCAACATGTTTTTTAGTCTTACGTTATTCATCCATTGAGAACATGTTTTTGAATATGTTAAAGGTCTCCTATTATGCAAAATGCACTTTTTGATGTCTTTTCTGCAGCCCCGTTTTTAGAGATGTGGGTACGGAGGAAAAGAGAGAGAGTTTTGTTCTCTGACACTTTGTGAGTCTCCTGACACACCGGGGACACACCGCGGACACACCGGGGACACACCGCGGACACACCGGGGACACACCGCGGACACACCGGGGACACACCGCGGACACACCGGGGACACACCGGGGACACACCGCGGACACACCGGGAACACACCGGGGACACACCGGGGACACACCGGGGACACACCGGGGACACACCGCGGACACACCGCGGACACACCGGGGACACACCGCGGACACACCGGGGACACACCGCGGACACACCGGGGACACACCGGGGACACACCGGGGACACACCGCGGACACACCGGGGACACACCGCGGACACACCGGGGACACACCGGGGACACCGGGGACACACCGGGGACACATAGTGATGCAATGGAGCTGATCCAGATTTGCGTCCGATATGACGTAATATCAGAAATGTGGACCCACGGCACTATCAGAAAGTTGCTTTAAGAAACAATGTCCGACGTGTTTGTCGTGTGAATTCTGAGCAGGCACAAACTCCCCCTCCTCTTTTTTTGTTGTCAAGCTAAGGACCCAGATCAGCAGTTCTCTAACAGGCCTGAAACAGAGGGGTATGAGGGATTTCTAAAATGCATGATCTCTTTGGTATTTTGAGCAAATCACATCATAGACATGTTTTTATATCTTTGTATATATCTGAGACCTATAATATATGCCTCCCTCAGGGCCGAAATCCTATGAACACTCATCTGAGAGAGGGGGGGGGGGGGGGGGTTTAATGGCTTGTTGTGAAGTCTGCAGGCTTTTTATAGAACTTATTTCAACACAAATGTCAACCTTTGAGTTATTGAATGTCTGTGAATGTGATTGAGATGAGTCATTGTTTGCATGACTTCCTTACTACAGGGCAACATGTTTTTTAGTCTTACGTTATTCATCCATTGAGAAAATGTTTTTCAATATGTTAAAGGTCTCCTATTATGCAAAATGCACTTTTTGATGTCTTTTCTACATCACTATGTGTCCCCGGTGTGTCCGCGGTGTGTCCCCGGTGTGTCCCCGGTGTGTCCCCGGTGTGTCCGCGGTGTGTCCCCGGTGTGTCCGCGGTGTGTCCGCGGTGTGTCCCCGGTGTGTCCCCGGTGTGTCCCCGGTGTGTCCCCGGTGTGTCCGCGGTGTGTCCGTGGTGTGTCCCCGGTGTGTCCCCGGTGTGTCCGCGGTGTGTCCCCGGTGTGTCCGCGGTGTGTCCCCGGTGTGTCCCCGGTGTGTCCGCGGTGTGTCCGTGGTGTGTCCCCGGTGTGTCCCCGGTGTGTCCGCGGTGTGTCCCCGGTGTGTCCGTGGTGTGTCCCCGGTGTGTCCGCGGTGTGTCCGTGGTGTGTCCCCGGTGTGTCCGCGGTGTGTCCCCGGTGTGTCCCCGGTGTGTCCGCGGTGTGTCCGTGGTGTGTCCCCGGTGTGTCCCCGGTGTGTCCGCGGTGTGTCCCCGGTGTGTCCGTGGTGTGTCCCCGGTGTGTCCGCGGTGTGTCCGTGGTGTGTCCCCGGTGTGTCCGTGGTGTGTCCCCGGTGTGTCAGGAGACTCACAAAGTGTCAGAGAACAAAACCCTCTCTCTTTTCCTCCGTACCCACATCTCTAAAAACGGGGCTGCAACGGAGCTGATCCAGATTTGCGTCCGATATAACGTAATATCAGAAATGTGGACCCACGGCACTATCAGAAAGTTGCTTTAAGAAACAATGCCCGACGTGTTTGTCGTGTGAATTCTGAGCAGGCACAAGCTCCCCCTCCTCTTTTTTTGTTGTCAAGCTAAGGACCCAGATCAGCAGTTCTCTAACAGGCCTGAAACAGAGGGGTATGAGGGATTTCTAAAATGCATGATCTCTTTGGTATTTTGAGCAAATCACATCATAGACATGTTTTTATATCTTTGTATATATCTGAAACCTATAATATATGCCTAAAAATAGCATGATAGGAGGCCTTTAAAGGACTTTTGGTAGCAGCGATAGCCACCTCAATGGGTTTCATGATCAAAGATGAGTTCCATCGCTCCAACAAATCCACATTTTAAAATATTATTTAGAAACTTAAATTGGAGAAATTAGCGTTTTCCAATTAAAACTGTCGTAACTGTATTTCTGTCTTTTTTTATAGTCTAGAAAGGTTCAGGCCCTGTTTGTTGTATTTATTGCATATATCATCTTAAGCCTAATTTCCTGTTTTGATTAGAGATGTTTTTATTTTGAAGGCGACTCTCTAGTTAAATGGCTAATGTGTGCAAAAGTGGAAAAAAACGGGCAGAGTTGACAAAATGTGGATTAACCCTTAAAATATTTTTGTATCCTGGGAGATACATTTAGAGTCTTTGTCCATTATGTAACATGGGTCAAATATAGTGTAACATAGGTTTAATATTATGTGAAATGTGCAATGTATCTCTGGAAATGCAAAGTGTAAGTTGGAAAATAAAAGTCTTAAAGAATGTTAACCTAGATACATTATGTTAGAAAAATCTCACTGGTCCCCGGCTTGAGCTTCAACCTCAGGATCCATGTATCTGTGATCCTCTCCAGAATGGAAGTAGTCATCACATACAGAGCATCAACTAGTTCCTGAACAGTGTCCTTCACATGCTGATATCCAAGAGAGGGAGTTACACAGTCACAAGATGGAGGAATAGAAAGCAGTATTCAATGTTTACTTCAGATTAGCTCCATGTCAGAAATGATCATGCTTGTCATATGTCTATCTCCATAGAGGCTGAATCATCATGTTAATCACATAGCTATCATATGCCTCAAACAGTCCTGATGCTCTTCTAGGTAATCATACATCCTGTCATGAACACAGCTACAGTTGGGATACCTTTGTTATCATGTTACTTTGATATTGGAAGAGTACATTCAGTAGTTTCCCAACACAATAGAAAATAACAATCAATGAATTCTCCAAAATATATATATGTGCTTTCCCATTTAAGGGTTAATTGCTCACCCCTACCTAAAATGAACTAACCAACCCTAAACAACAGCACCATCTCTGAATCTTCTAACTCGCTCCCCTCTCCAGATCGAGCAGCGGCGCCACAGTGAGGGCAGTAACTCCACCTCCTGTATCTTCATGGTGAACAAACCGTACGCCCTCACCTGCTCCGTGGTGGCCTTCTACATCCCGCTGGTCCTCATGGTGCTGGCCTACCAGAGGATCTACATCACGGCTCGAGCCCACGCCCTGCAGATCAGCATCTTGCAACGAGCGGGAGGAGGTGGAGGAGGTGGTATAGACCATCAACGAAACCACCGCATGCGAACAGAGACCAAAGCAGCCAAGACTCTGTGCATCATTATGGGTTGTTTCTGCCTCTGTTGGGCGCCGTTCTTCGTCACTAACGTGGTGGACCCCTTTATAGACTACGCGGTGCCGGAACAGCTGTGGATCGCCTGCCTGTGGCTGGGGTACATTAACTCCATGCTCAACCCCATCCTCTACGCCTTCCTCAACAAGTCCTTCCGCCGTGCCTTCCTCATCATCCTGTGCTGCGGGAGGAAGAGGTACCGCCGGCCGTCCATCCTGGGGTCCGGAGCGCCCTGCACGGCCACGCAGATCAACGGCTCCACACATGTAGTCAAGTAAGTTCCCCCTGATCATTGCTGTGGATTTGTTTAACATTCAGTACATCACGTGGTGAAGGAATGAGTCCTAAAACCTGAAAACATTAAACTCAAGAATTTGAAAATATGTCATCCTCAAGGCCTTTAGATGGCCCTGACAAAATGTGTAACTCAAGTAAGTTCCCCGTAATCATTGTTGTGAATTTGACTGTCATAGAATGGTGCAGGAATGAGTCCTAAAACCTGGAAATGGGTCAGCATGTCACCACAAATCAATTCTACAGGTTTTCTGAATACGTTTTTGGTTAGCCTGAAATGGGGTCTGTGGTTAAACGAAGCTGAAGAGATCTTTTAACATTTTGTTGCATTAAACTCAAGAATTAGAAAATTGGACAGGAATGAGTCCTGAAACCTGGAAATGAGTCAGTGTTTCACCACTTCCTGTTCGCTTGTCTCTTTGAATGTATTTTTGGTTGAAATAGGGTCTGTTATATCTGAAGATATTTTAACGTTTTGTTGCATTAAACTCAAGAATTCGATAACTTTTCATCCTTAAGGCCTTTAGATGGTCCTGACAACATTTGAAGTTGTCAGAACAAATCTGGTGGAGGATTTCGTTAAAGAATGACACCTGAAAAAGGCGAGAAATCTTTAAAAAAAAAACATGAAATCTAACCTACCTTTTGGGTTTACGATATATATCTAATTGGCTTTTTTCTACATCTCAGCATGCTCCAGATGCCTTCCAAATGGCATACTTCTACGTGAGTGTCTTTCACATTGCGAGCATCCCAAAAGTGCGTTCAAACCTGAGAGATATAATATATATATATAATCATCCAGTTTCAATAGGTCCTCCGCTCCGACCTTCTCTGTGCTCGGGCTCGGGTTTATCGGAAATAAAACCGTACTCAAAATGATAAATAGGAAGCATCCATATACCATGCATGATGATGCATAGTACTTCATACTCAATGCATTGTCTTTGAGTTGTTGTTGTTGTTGTTGTTTCTGGGTCAAAAGTCGCTTCTACGTTACACTTTTGGTTAACAATAAGACTTTGTACAATACACAAACGACAAAGTGCTATAAGCGCCAGTCTTGTCATTTTAAACTGTCTCAAATTGAGAATTAAGTCCTTAAATATTACAACATTAAGAGAAGAAGAACCTCTCTATTTTGTAATCTGAGCTTCTCTTTACCCCCCATCAGGCTTCTTAGTAAACAGTGTCTCAGGGACACAACGACATGCTGACTGCAGTGGGACTCAAACTTGATACCCCCTGATTCGAAGTCCACTGAGCCACAGCCTCCCAACGATCTTAGATCTTTTATCTACTCAAACCAAGGCTTTTTATTTATTTCTGTAAATGCACGTGTCACTGGTTATCTCACAGAGCGCAGAGGGAGCCATTTGTCCTCGGTCTGCCCTGCATGCACCATATACTGCGAATGAACTGACTAATGTGCAGGAGGGTCAGGTGGCAGGTAACAGCAGCCTTTAGTGATAAACAACATGTGTTTACTCTGCTGGAGATAACTTTATTTACCTCTGAATAAATACACTTCCACTTCCTTCACTCTCCAGCCTTGACTCGTTGACCTGTTTCTGTTTCTAGACGTAGAAATCGTGTTCACAGAGATAAGGTTCAACGTGCACCTCGTAGCGGCTCAGCGCTTATCTTATTATTATTCTTTGCATCTGGATAATAGGTATTTCAAAAATGATGAATGTGGCATAGAATAAGTGTGTGTATGTTTGCAAGGTTGAATAATCATGCATGTTATATCTAGTTAAGTCTATAGGGTTTGCCTTTCTGACTGCATAAGATTGTGTGAATCATATAGTAGGCAAGTCTTCGTCCAATCAGAAACATGCTGCAGTGATGACTTTATTATGTAGATCTTCCAGACAAAAATCAGCAGTTTTGGAGGTAAAGAACCCGTAGTTTTTTTATACTGTCCTGACCGTTTGTATGAATTGGTCCAAAGCAGCTTGAATCCTTGTTTTCCTTGTGACATGGCTAACATGTGTGAGCGTGTTTGTGTAGCTATAGCACACAGGCTTTCTGTTTATGGGCTTTTGAACATAATTACAATGGCACAAAATGTTTTATTTGAACTTGTCATGTCAAATTTACTGCCAAAACCACACAACTCAAAGTGTTACAGGGTTATGGGCAAATATCCCCTTTTATAGTGTATAGAAGTCTTTAATGAGTGACATAGGACATTACCTGAGGTTGTGCTGAGGATGCGTAAAACTTGATTATACTGTAAAAAAGTTATCATTTATAAGGCAAAACACAAAAATATTCAAGAACTGAAATGTCTTATTGTGGGTCTCAGTGGGTTGAGACCAGAAGTCATTATGTCTGCAGCGTTTTCACTGTGTTTCAGAAACACGCTGCAGCAGCACTTTCTCTTTGTGTGCACTTCATAAAGGTCAAGACGACTGAACGTCCCTTCAGTTTGCAAGGAAGTAGAAGGGACAATGACTTCAACACACACCCTAATATATCAAATAGCACTACTACACCCCTGCATGGCACCACTTGGTACGGTCCAGGCTGGGTTAGAGTCCAGGCTCTGGCGAACATTTGGGCGGAAATATTCTTAGAAAGAACATCAATACACTCTCGGTTTTGGACTTTTTTTGTAAATGGGAAATTAACATTACATGTTACTTGTTAGACGCTTTTATCCAAAGCGACTTCCATACTCAATACTGTGGGTAATCCCCACAGGAGCACTTTGGGGTGAAGTGTCTCGGGGAGACAACGACATGCTGACTGCAGTGGGGTTTGAACCTGTGCTCCCCTGATCCCAACACCAACGCACAACCCACTGCACCACACGCCTCCTTAACAAAAAGTGATGCTTAAACCTAAATGTCAATTAAATTATTTTTCATTTTGAAACAGTTGTATAGCTCCCTCCAGTAAATGACACGAGGCTGAGGTCTTGTTTTAAAATACGGGGTTTATTTTGTGGGACCTATTCCAACCCGTGAGAACTGGGTTATAAGACAGAAAAATATAAAAGGTAAACAATAAATAAATATGTAATATATGCATATGTCATCACTGTTAATGCCGCTAAATTAAACAATAAACGGCACACATCCCACACAGCATGTAGCACAAGCTAACAATAGCATGTAACACAAGCTAGCGCATAGCATACATACATACACATACATAACCTGCAGCTCAACCACACACAATTACACAAACAACCAGCACAAAAACGTACCTCGTAGGCTGCTAGTCACTAGAGGGGCTGATCACTTCCCTTACTTTCCAACAGGTGTAACACAAAACACCGCAGATTAGTTCTGCCTCTATTATTGTTGCACATAAAAAAGGTAGGAACCAAAAATACAATGTGGAACAAATGAACAACAGAAAGTGAAGACAGTTACAGTTTTTCTTTCCCTCATCTCGTCTTCTGAAATGTCTCATATTAGAAAAATGATTTAAAGTGGACCTATCATGCTATATTATAATAATATAGTGTAGGACCATACCTATATAAGGCATATTTATACTTTTTCTTTTTCAAAATACCAAACAGATCATGCATTTTAGCCATGCCTCATTTAGCTCTATTTGACATTTTTTAGCTCTGTTTTTGCAAGGGCTGATTCAGTGAGAACAGCTCCACCTACTGGCCTGGCATATGTACTACAGCGTCTCCAGCGCTTTCGAACGGCAATGGCCGTGGCTGTCTCCTCCTGATTGGTGGAGTTGGCCCAATAGCCGTAGCGCCACCGTCCTGACGTCAGGACAGTGTTCAAATCTGGATCAGTTTTTATCAGATCCGTTGCAGCCCCTTTTTTAGAGATTTGGGTATGGAGGAAAATAGAGAGGGTTGTGTTTTCTGACACTTGGTGAGTTCCCTGGAACACCGGGGACACATATTCATGTAGAAAAGACGTACACAAGTGCATTTTGCATGATAGGTCCCCTTTAAGGAACACTCCTGAACCTGCAGATGAGAAATGTTCTAATAATATAAGTAGTACATGAACATCCTCCTTCTCGTGCACCGACGCTGCAGAGTGAATTAGTCTGAGTGATTTGACTCTGTGTGGAAACAATTTCAATTCTCGTTCAAAATGGTGTTGACGTCCCGAGACATTATGGAGCTTGAGTTCATCGTAGGAAATCAATGAGGCTCCGACCATCAATTACTGTTCATCCTGCCGACATTACTCGTAACATTTCCAATGCCTGTCGGACATTTCTGGACATCCTCCAGAGAGTTGGTACTGACGATTGAAAGCCATTAGCTCCATATGGAAGTCTTCTATACGCTCATTATTTTACTCAGAAGTGGCACAGCTGAACTAGGGTTACAGTAACTCACAGGACCACCAGTGATTGGTCAATTTGTTAAAGGATTTCTCTGTTCATAATCCATAAATTCACTGCAAACTATCAATAACAGATGGGATGTTATATTTGGTGGCAATGGCATTCAATCAATGTGGCAGCAGGATTCAACCTATAGTAAAGTGTTGTTTTTCATATTTAAACGCTATTAGTTTCAGTAGAAATGTTTATTTTTAGGAGTTGGACGGACATTATATTGAAATCCAAACTACCTTTTAGCTTCGCAGTAACATTGTCCGTCACAAACACACTCTCTTGGTGTCCTATTTATTATCTATTACTATTTAAAGTGCTGTGTTTAACAAACCATCAGATTTTATTGGTATCATAAATATTGGTATGTGCAACGAAACAGAATTTAACGTGCAGTTTTAATGAAGCTCTTTGCAGGATAACTTCAAGACAGTAATATCCCCCATCATGAGCAGCAGTGCATGTTATTCGTTTTTAACAATGTTCTTGCTTTACACAGCGAGAGTCAATAACGTTCGTACTGGCATTTCTGTTATTACTTCTGCAGAATATCGACTAGAACATCTGACTCTGACTGTGTTTTATATAACACACATGTGTCATACACTGCATGTTGTCCTGCACATTGACTCATTATATCTCCCACAC